GTGTGTGTGGGTGTGTGTGTGTGTGTGTGTGTCCTGGTCTCTTCACTATGTAAATCATTGAATTTTAGGATGACATGGTTAACCGTAGTGGTTATGGTTAAAGTTAGGATAGGTCACTAGGAAGTGAATGTAAGTCAATATAAAATCCTCACAAAGAATGAAAACGTGTGTGTGTGTGTGTGTGTGTGTGTGTGTGTGTGTCTGTGGTCTTGTTTTTCTATACATACTGTATGATGATGGTAAACTGGGGAGCACACTGGGTTCATGGGGATGGGCATCATTTCTGGGGACCGGTGGCTGATAACATGGCATGTTAATCTGTCTAGCAGCTGCAGTCAACAGACTGTCCAGAGTGGACCCCACCTCTCACCCAGTGTCAGCTGGGATTAGTTCCAGTCATTTCTCAAACATCAAGAACAACCTCAACTCTCTCATCAACCAACATGACTCGTTCACTCTGCCACCAAGAACCTGACATCGCTTCGTCCGGTTGGCTTTAGTTCCTCCAGCTTCTTCACCTTAAATATCACTGATCCATAACAAGTAATGTGCAAAATGATAATGCTAAGGAAAACTAGTGTAAAATAATGAACTTGTTGGTTTTAATTCTGCTTTGTGAAGTGACACAGTGGACTGAGGGGACTGTATCAGGAAGAACTGAGTCTTTGTAAAAGACTGAATGGAAGCTTTGTCACGACTGATAGTGAAGCTGATTTACTTTTTTGATCTGTGTGTAAATTATGTGTACTTTTTAATTTTCTGTGTTGAAAAATGTCAAACTCCACCAGTGATGTGATTTGTGATCTGGAGCTTGTTGTCTAACGATGTTCGGACACAGACGTTGCTCATTTCCACCTCCACCCGTCGTGTTGCTCATAAGAATCTCTCACAAAAAACGAACATAGCAAAATTCTACAAGTTATAACATAATTAGACGTAAATACTGTCAAAAAGAAACATGTTACAAACGTTAAGTTAAGAAAACCATGAGCTTCCAAAAACCTTCAGAATCTTTTCCAAAACAAACTAAGCTGGGTAGTAGCGTGACTCTTAAAGCCACAGTACACAGTTAAGAACATTACTGAACACTATAGTAATGACCGTTTTTCCAAAATTCAAGTAATGATTGGTCAATATTAACATTTTTTATACCTTTAACCATTTAAACATACAAACAGTCTAAATTAACTGTCCAATAAATATATACAAATGGAACTGGAACAGGTGGAACATTGTGGGTGTAGTGTAAAAATGTTAACACTATGTAATAATTCTTTAGTATATTACTTGTGTGGTGTAGAAGATAATTATTTAAGAATGTAATTATGTACAAATGTTAACACTTTGTAATAATTCTTTAGTATATTACTTGTGTGGTGTAGAAGATAATTATTTATGTAGAGATACTGCTTGCAAACCAATGATGGTAAGATGATGTCAGGGGGTAGGACTGGATAAGTCTGACTTCTTCCTACTCCATTCAAGCATGTACTAGGTATAAGCAAATTGATATTGGATTAGCATTTGTTGGATATGTGTATAATTATGTGTGTTGACATATCGACTGTCTTTACATGCTTAAAAGAATAAATAAATCAAATCAAACTGCACAACTAGAATTTCACAGTTGTGTTTTTTGGCCTTTACATGAGGTACATGCACAATATTCATGTACAGGAGAACAACAGTACATTAAGATACATACAGTAAGAACAAATACTATTTCAAAAAATACACAGGTAACAAAGATAAATTGCAAGTTGCGAAGTAACACAGTATATCTACTCAGGTAGCTACTATGCTGTTTAAATTAAAAAAGGATTATTGCTGCCTGAAAGTGACGTGGCCAATGTGTGATGTGAACTAAATTCATTCAGACAAATCTTTCCAATTCCAATGTTCATTTATTATTCTAATCATTCAAAGCAGTTCAATAATCTGAAAGGCAGGGAATAGATTCACCGTCTCTGCAGAGACATAAATAAAAGCACTGAATAAGAGACTTGTCAAATCATTGTCAGCCAGTTGAAAAGTCAAAGTCCTGTCTCTCTTCTCCTCTGCTAGCTCCCCATCCTTGTTTGCTTCCTGAACACTGTCACACACCCAGTTCACCCAGTTCACTAACCTCTTTATGTTCACAGTTCTTTTTGGCTCTTATGTCAATTCCCAAACTTAGCTTCCTATCTTCTCTTTTACGGGAAAACACCCTCTGAAATGGGCTCACAAACAGAAAACAGACTGAACATCCCCCTGGAACTCTCGTTCTGACACACACCCCACTTTCAGAACAAAGGTCAAAACCTGATAAAATTATGTGGGCATTGTTCAGCTCACCCTGTAGTCTACTGCATTCCATTGTACTCAGTTACCTGTCACATATTACATGTTACACACTAACCATAAGCATTAACTATTAACTATATTTGCTTGTTTTAACCACTACAAAAACAAAGAGCTTTGACCACTTGGTGTCTGGTGGTCTGTTTGCAGGTTGGTCCTTCTGTGAACAGCGTCGTGCTGCCACCTTGTGGTGCACAGACTCGTCTACAGGACACAGCAGATCAGCTGCTGTAGCTCCGACCCAACTGTACACAACCTGAAACACACACATTGACCCCACTACGCTCCTCCAGCAAATTTTCAGGAACTGAATTGTGCATGTGACATTTGAAATTGTCTAAAATCACTGTGGAAACACAAGTGACTGGGTCTAAAGCTATAAGGCTGCATGAGGCCGAGGAGCTGCTGGCTGTTCACACTACACTTTGTTTTCACATCCCAGCTGCTTTAATGTTTGGTTTTTTATTGCAGATCCTCCCATAGAGGCACGTTTGGTCTCTGTGTGAGGTCATCAGCTCTGCTCTGATTGGTCCAGCCTGAGAGTGGCCTGGCCATCATACAGATCAGACACACCTGGGTGAAGAGTGTGTTCAAGTTCCAAGTGTTTATTTGTCATATGCTCAGTTAGGAAACGTGTTTCCCTGTATAATGAAATTCTTACTCCTTTTCTCCTTCTAATTCTTATCAGATGAGATGTGCTTTGTGATGTTTATTTGGCACAGGAAGGTCCAACACATCGAAATGTGGCTCTGTTAAATTTAACGTGGGTGCTCTTACTCCTGTGTGCTGAGCTTTTGTTTGACTTGCTTCTGTTTGATCCAGCACCTGTGCAGGATGCACACGGACACAGGGTTGTGTTCAGGAGCGTCCTCTGCCCTCAGACACCCGGAGACATCCAGAGATGTTCCACATGTGGTTCATTTGGTCTGCTCACTGCTGGAGTCGGTTGAAGTGAACTTGATGCATCTCAGAAGACGAAGAGCACATAATTGTCCACCTTGCTACCAGGTCTGTTGACTACACACTAACTACACCACAGTATATGGTTACACATTCCCCCTGCTGTCTGCACACACAAGGTAAGTTCATGGTAAAAGCACTTGACAGGAGATGTTACTGCAAAGCAATCATCATCAAGACAAATACAGTATTAAATACAGCTGCTTCCCTCGTCCCCTCTCGGAGCTCCAGGCCCTTAGAGTTTCATGAAGTCACGGAGTCACTGAGAGGTCAGAGGAAACCCAGCAGGGGCCTGGTTCAGCATCTGGAAGCTTCATCTGGACGCCAAGCCGATGCTTCCACAGTTCAAAGACACTGAATCAAGGCCAGCCTCCGTGGAAGTACAGCAGCCAAGAAACCACTTTTTCAGAAGGGGACAGGGTGAAAAGGCTGAGATATGCAAACACTCTCAGACTGGAGTGGTGATACCTGGAAAAGTGTCTTATGGAGAGATGAATCCGTTTTAAATTTTGGGGTCCAGTCATGTGAGAAGAGGAGGAGCCTTCAGGGGAACATGGTGGAGGCTCCGTCATGGTTTCAACACGTCAATCTCCCTCATAGGAAGGGACGTCACACTGAACCCTGACATTGGGCAGTAGAAGCCAGTTTTGTGTATGTGTTTGTGTTTTTTTTTTATATTTAATAACATATATTTCTGGTTATATCTTAATAAAGAGACTGTATTAAATTATTACAACTTTGATAAAGCAGGAAATCTAATAATGGCTTCTGACTTTTGCACAGTATGTGTGTGAAAATTTCACTGTGTCGAAAAAAATACAAACATCAGCTCAAAA